GCCCGCCACAACGCCTGGCTGTTTTTTGTTGCAGCTGTCATTGTTGTTTTGTCGGGCCCGGGCTGGATTTGAACCCGCCATCTTAGGTGTATGTGGCTAGCGCCTTAGCTACTTGAGCCACAGGCGCCGAGCCTGGTCTATGAACTCTTGAAAACCATGGAAATAATCTGAGATGGTTAGAAAGAAGAGAGCTACTCACATAATTTATTCTTGAAGCATGAAGAGAGATGTGAAACACAGCAGGCTTTTCACTGAGCTATTAATTTTTGCAGATTTGTGCTTTTTCTTTTTTTTACTCAAGATCTCCATGCTTTTCCCATTGTCTCAAAACAAACCAGTTGGATTCCTCTTTCTCTTGGTTTAAATTCAAGGAACAAATCTGGGCCATGATAGGCTCATCTTTTTCTTTTTTTGTTTTTTTGGCCAGGGCTAGGTTTGAACCCACCACCTCCGGCATATGGTCTGGCACCTTTGAGCCACAGGCACCCCTGATAGGCTCAGCTTCATTGAAAGTGTTTACTATTTATCATCTAGGTCATTTCCCTCCTCCTTGCCTTTTTTCAATTTATGCATCATACTTCTATTCTATCATACAAAAAAGCATGAAGCAGGTAGTTCAATAGTGGAGTGATTGACTTTTTCAAAACATTCCTCCAGAATATAGAACCAATGGCTTTATGAGGATCTAAGCTTTTATATAGTAATTTATAGCTGGAAAAGTTTAATAAGCACAAACTAGACTTGAAAGACTTGTAAGGGCTTCTGGTTCAACTGAATATATATGTGCAAGTAAATTACATTCTTCTAAAATTTTGGATCTGGGGCTGGGCACAGTGGCTCACGCCCATGATCTTAGCACTCTTGAGAATCTGAGGCAGGTAGATTACTTGAAGCTCAGGAGTTCTAGACCAGCCTGAGCAAAAGCCAGACCTCTCTCTTAAAAAAAAAAAAAGTAAAAGCAGAGGTAGTTCATAATGATATAATAATCTGCTTAGGGATATATAACTCATGAATATATAACTGAACATATATTTTTAATATTTCTATTTTGTACTTTTTAATTTAATTTAATTTTTTAATTTTTTTTATTTTTTGCAGTTTTTGGCCAGAGCTGGGTTTGAACCTGCCACCTCCGGCATATGGGGCCCGTGCCCTACTCCTTTGAGCCACAGGTGCTGCCCCTATCATTGTTTTTTTTAGCTGGCCTGGGCTGGATTCACACCCACCAACCTCAGTATATGTGGCTTGAGCTGTAACCACTGTGCTACAGGCGCTGAGCCCTTTTTTTTTTTGAGCCCATTTCTTTGTTTGTTTTTGTTTTGAAACAGGGTCTTGCTCTCTTGTTGCCTGAGCATGAGGGGAGTGTCATGTTCTTAGGTCACTACAACCTCAAACTCTTGGGCTCAAGTAATCATCTTCCTTTAGCTTCCTAAGTGGCAGGAACTTAAGAGAGGTATGTCATGATACTCAGCTAATTTTCCTATTTTTTTTTTTCTTTTTGCAGTTTTGGCCAGGGCTGGGTTTATGGGGCCGGCGCCCTACTCCTTTGAGCCACAGGAGCCACCCTTATTTTTCCTATTTTATTTATAGATGGGGTCTTGCTTATTGCTCAGCCTGGTCTTAAAATTCCTGACCTCAAGGAATCCTTCTGCCTTGACTTGACCTGCCAGAGTGCTATAGTGCCAGCCCTCAATTTGTTAAATATGCATACTATTTATTTATTTTTTTGAGACAATCTCATTATCACCCTATCACCCTGGGTTGAGTGCCATGGTTTCATAGTTTACAGCGATCTCAAACTTTTGGGTTCAAGCAATCCTCTTGCCGTAGGCTCCTAAGTAGCTGGGACTGTAGGTGCTTACCATTTTCTTGACTAGTAGAGATGGGGTCTCATTCTTGCTCAGGCTGGTCTCGTAACTCCTGAGCTCAAGCAATTCACCTACCTCGACCTCCCAGGTGCTAGGCTTAAAGGTATGAGCCACCACACCCAGCCACCTACCACTTTATATCATGCCTTTTTATTCCTGTTTTTGTAGCATTTTTTTCCATTGTAATACAAACTTATTATGTTCAGTGGCAAACACCCTATTAAGGATAGTATCTTTAAATAGTTGATATAAAAAGTATATATAATAAAATCTCCGTACAAAAATGGTTTAAAAATCGAATCATGAGATTTTCTTGACCAGTAGAAACAAAAAAATATAATGAAGTTATTTCTGGCATAAAGAAGAAACTAACATGGGCAGTGCCTATGGCTCAGTGGGCAGGATGCCTGCCCCATATACCGAGGGTGGTGGGTTCAAACCTGGCCCCAGCCAAACTGCAACAAAAAAAAATAGCTTGGCATTGTGGCAGACGCCTGTAGTCCCAGATCCTTGGGAGGCTGAGCCAAGAGAATCAACCTAAGCCCAGGAGTTGGAGGTTGCTATGGGCTGTGTGACACCACGGCACTCTACCCAGGGTGATAAAGTGAGACTCTTTCTCTACAAGAAAAAAAAAAAGAAGAAGAAGAAACTAACATCCTTTCTCCTTGCTTAAAATATCATTTCTATTATAGTCTTTATATTGTTCTGATGCCATCCATCTTTTAAAATTTTTTGTTGACAATTAAGAAATATTTAGATTTGGCCAGTCATGGTGGCTCACCCCTATATAATCCCAGCACTCTGGGAGGCCAAGATGAGAGAATCCCATGAGCTGAGGAGTTTGAGACCACCCTAAGCGAGACCCTGTCTCTACTTCAAATAGAAAAATTAGGCTTGATGCCTGTAGCTCAGAGGCTAGGGTGCCAGCCACATGCACTGGAGCTGGCAGGTTCAAACCCAACCCAGGCCTGCCAAACAACAATGACAATTACAACCAAAAAAAGAAAACAAAATAGCTGGGCATTGTGGCAGTAGTCCCAGCTACTTGGGAGGCTGAGGCAGGAGAATTGCTTAAGCCCAAAAGTTTGAGGTTGCTGTGAGCTGTGACGCCAAGGCACTCTATTAAGGACGACATAGTGAGACTCTGTCTCAAAAAAGAAAAAAAATTAGCTGGGCATAGTGACAGGCCCCAGCTACTCAGACGGCTAAGATAGATTACTTCAGTCCAGGCATTTGAGGTTTCTGTGAGCTAGGCTGAAGGTATGGTATGCTAGTCTGGGCAACAGAGTGAGACTCTGTCTAAGAAAAAAAAAAGGTCAGGGCGGTTCCTGTGCCTCAAAGAAGTAGGGTACCGGCCCCATATACCGGAGGTGGCAGGTTCAAACCCAGCCCCAGCCAAAAAAAAAAAAAAAAGGCAGCACTTGTGGTTCAGTGGGTAGGGTGCTGGCCCCATATACCAAGGGTGACAGGTTCAAACCCAGCCCTGGCCAAATTGCAACAAAAAAATAGCTGGGCATTGTGGCAGGCACCTGTAAATCCCAGCTACTCGGGAGGCTGAGGCAAGAGAATCACCTAAGCCCAGGAGTTGGAGGTTGCTGTGAGCTGTGTGACACCATGGCACTCTACCAAGGGCAATAAAGTAAGACTCTGTCCCTACAAAAAAAAGAAACATATTTGACTTTTACTTCCTTTTCTACTCTTTTTCACTGAAATGTCAGTACTTGTCTGGGATTTAGTTTTGCCCTGAAGTTATACCGGAATACCTGAGGCAAGAATGTAAAATATGCTTGGACAAACTAGATGATCATAGCACAAATAGTTAATCTGGCTTTATTATATTGGATGACTACCTCTCATTCATATGATTTAAACTTTGGTAAACTTTTTTCAAAGGTATTTGTCACCTAAATCTCAGTTTGGGTCAGCATCACAGTCTGAAGTTGTACAAGAAATCAGGAAAGACTCCATATCTAAGGTATGTTGATGCTGTTTATGGATTTCAATCTGTAGGTTTTCATGGAAGTGAAAATAAAGTGATGGCTTAATCTAAATTGGCATACGGAAGAAAAATACCACTAGGAAAGAATTGATATGCCTCGTTAGTAATGCTTAATAATGTATAGTGACAGTTCAGCTATGGTATCAGTGTAATTAGACATATATATGTATATCATGATTTGATGTTTTTCCCTGGTTTATTTGGTCTTTTTCTGTTTTCTACAGGAAATTGACAATAGTGGTGAGAAAAGTCCTACATGGCAAGACACAGAAGTTGAAGAAGATATGCCAACACTTTCCCCACAAATATGCCTTGAAAATCAAGAACAAAGTGCAAAATCTTCAATGGAATCACCTATGCCATGGTTGTGTGCCTATAGTTCAGAATGGTGCCTTGAAGGAAAAGTCGAAACAAGACCAAATAATCATGATAAAGAGTTGTGTGTCTTAAATCATGAGGGACCACAAACCAAAATTCCCTACTCAAAAGAAGCTGCAGGTAAGCCTTGTGGCAAAACAGAGAGTGGGTGCACTGTATCAGGTATGACACAGATAATTGGAAACAACACAGTCGAGACAAAAAATGAAGAGTCTCATCTGATCAGTTTGGATATTTCCAAAAGAAAAAACGAGGAATCTTTATTTAAAGCAGCTAAGGATCCATGCTTTTCTGGAAAAAGAAGGAAAATGTTCCCCAGATGTTCATCTGATCAAGAGGAAACAGAAATAAACTTCACCCAAAAACTGATAAATTGGGAGCATCTGCTTTTTGAAAGACATAAACAAGAAGAACAGGACAGATTATTGGCATTACAGCTTCAAAAAGAGGTAGATAAAGAACAAATGACGCCAAACCGGCAGAAAGGATCCCCTGATGAATATCCATTACGGTCTACACCCTCACCTTCAGACAAATTGCTAAACAGACAGAGGAAGAATCCCAAAGATAGGAGCTTCACAAGACAAAGTGACACAGAGCGTTCAAAACCACGGAGAGGCTCAAAAGATGAAAACTGGCAGTCGTCTTTGAAGATCCAGTTGAGGCATTCCATTAATGGGAGAAAGAGGCCAAATTCTACTAGAAATAATAGTAAGGTACCTAAAAGTGCTCATTCCCTACAGTCCCGGAATTCACAGAAAAGTATTTTTCAAATGTTTCAGAGATGTTCAAAGTAATGCACGAGTAAAGGGAGTGTTTTGTGATCTAGTAAGGCCAGATTGTGAAGCTCTCATTTCTATCGTAGAATATGTATAAACTTGTTATTATTCTGCTTTGTAGTCACACCCATATCTTTAATTAAAGGACTATGTGATTATCAGGGAAGAATGCACAAATGTGTTTTTGCAGAGCTCAGTGATGAGCAAGTGTCTCTCTATTGTTCGATTGTTAATAACTGTGATACACTAAGTTTTACAGTCCTTATGGATGTGAAAATGCCTTGGCCAACACCAAGAAATTTTCAAGTGCCATTGTATTTCCCAAAAATGCATGTTTTATGGCCTTTGCTGGCTTTTTTGTCATGACTAGTAATCAAAGCAATGTTAAACTATTCCAAGTAATTAAGGAATCCATGCAGAGTTTAAAGTGTAAGTTTTCTTGCTATTTTCCCATCTATCTCCAGAGTATGTGAAATGTATCTTCTGTATCACTAAAAGAATCTAATTTCTAGCTCCAGTTTAAGATATAAGCATTATAGCATGTCTGTTGATTTTTTTTTTTAAGACAGTCTCTATGTCACCCTCAGAATGCTGTGGCATCACAGCTCACAGCAACCTCCAACTCTTTGGCTTAAGCAATTCTCTTGCCTCAGCTTCCCAAGTAGCTGGGACTACAGGTTCCTGCCATAACACCTGGCTATTTTTTTTTTGTTGCAGTTGTTTAGCTGGCCCAGGCTGGGTTCGAACCCACCAGCCTCGGTGTATGTGGTTGGCGCCGTAACCACTGCTATGGGCCCCAAGCCATGTCTGTGGATTTTTAAATGAATTAAGATCAATGTTAAAGCTGGGCACAGTGGCTCATGCCTGTTGTAATCCTGGCACTCTGGAAGGAGAAGTGGGTGGATTGCCTGAGTTCGCAGGTTCAAGACCAGCCTGAGCAAGATTGAGACTCTGTCTCTAGTAAATAACAAGGCATTGTGGTAGCTGCCTATGGTACCAGCTACTCAGGAGGCTGAGACAAGCCCAATTCTTGGGCTGAGAATCGCTTGAGTCCAAAAATTTGAAGTTGCTATGAGCTGTGACACCATGGCACTCTTAACAAGGTGCCACGAAGTGAAACTCTGTCTCCAAAAAAAAAAAAAAAAAATCAATGTTAAATCAGAAAATCAGTTTTCTAGAAAATTTGGAATTAGTTGACAGAAAGGAAACTTAGACTCTTTACATAAAATGAGTTAAGAGTTGGGATGAGACTGGATGGGATAAATTGACAATTTGGGAGATTTGGAACTGAATGAGTCAGGAGTAAGCAGAAACTGGGTCTGGAATTAAGTAGCAGGTGCAATTCAGCAGAACATTCTCCCTTGTCTATTTGCTAAGTTACACAGATCATTTTGGTTTTACAGCTTTTCACATTGGGGTATCTGGTGTCAAAATCAAAATTAGTTACTAAATTACCTGAATTTTTGGGAATTCACATTTCTGTTAATCTGCTATTTCAGAAAAAATGGGAGTTTAGGAGAATTATGATATCATAATATCTTATGTTGTAGAATCTGAAACGTAACCATGTGTTTATTTTCTTATTTCTATGGATATTAGCTTTTTTTTTTCTTTTGCAGTTTTTTGCCAGAGCTGGGTTTAAACCCGCCACCTCTGGCATATGGGTCTGGCGCCCTACTCCTTTTAGCCACAGGCGCTGCCTGGATGTTGGCTTTTATATGTGTTTATGGACAGAAAGAATGACACTTGGGATTTGCCCTTCTTACCCCTAAAAGTTAAATCAGGATTTTGGTTTCATTTTGTGAAAAATAATTTAAGAGATTATTGTTGTTCTATTTCATAAATATAAATAATTGTTAACAAACAATAGTATTTTTTTGTTTGTTTATTTTAGAAACAGAGTCTCATTGTATTGCCCTCGGTAGAATGCTGTGTCGTCACAGCTCGTCACAGCTCGTAGCAACCTCTAATTCCTGGGCTTAGGCGATTCTCTTGCCTTAGCCTCCCAAGTAGCAGGGACTACAGGCACCTGCCACAATGCCCAGCCATTTTCTTGCTGCAGTTTGGCTAGGGCCTGGTTCGAACCAGGGTATATGGGGCCGGCACCCTACCCACTGAGCCACAGGCGCCACCCAACAAACAATAGTTTTAACAGCTTTTCTGCTGGTGTCTAGTCTTTCGTTCTTTTTATATAAAAAATGATAAAATTATCAATATTTTTATGTCATTAAGGTTTTCCCCCCCAAAATTTGTAATTGAAATTCTTTTAGTCTTTGCATACTTGATGGTATCTATGTCAATATTAATTGGGTAGTTATGAATAGAAATCTGATGCTAATTAAAATTTAGTCTGCCCTTTTTCAAAAAAAGTGATTACCTTCTGAGTAGTGATTGTAATGAAGTGACATATGGTTAGAAACTGACCAAATATGTCTAAAATGGACTAAAATCTACCCTCTCACCAAACCATTAGTTTTCTAAGAGCAATTTCACTTAATGTTATGAGTCAGAAAATGTTGGAGCTCCTTAAATTAAAACTCACCTAATTAAATTTTTTGGTTATAGTCCATGACCAAAAAGCAGGGAAAATAGCCTATAGTGTGATGTACTTAGGATTTATATATTTAACCACTTATTTGTCTGTGAAGAAGTCTTCCTGACCAAAGGTGGTTTTAAGGTCAATTTTAATTTCAATTTTAGTCTTTCTGCTATTCCTACCATGGATGCCTTTTTTGTCAGAGACTAATAAATGTTCTGTGACAGTCATTAGAATGTACACAAATGTACTGCCGCTTCTTTTTGTGGAAAGGATATAAGAATGCTTAATTTCTTGAGGATTGCTAAAGGTGTGCAGAGGTTGAGAATCTGAAAATTAAAATGATCATCAAAAATAAAAATTGACTTATGTATATTTTACCATAATTTAAAAATAAATAAAAATTTTAGAAATTCTATGATCTACATAAAAATTTAAAGTTCTGTGTAACACAAACTGGCATCAAGGAAAGTTGAAGGACATGGCAATCTCGTGGATGAAATAGTTGCAATTTATGATAAAGCACTAATTCCTTTATGTAAAGTGTATGACAGTTCATTAATAAAGAAAGAAAAAAGACCAACTCAGAAAATTAGAGAAGTTGGCCAGGTGAGTGCCTCATACCTGTAATCCTAGCACTTTGGGAGGCCAAGGCAGGAGGATTGCTTGAGCTCAGGAGTTTGAGACCAGCCTGAGTAAGAATGAAACCTTGTTTCTACTAAAAATGAAAAACTGAGGCAAGAGGATTGCTTGAGGTTGCTATGAGCTTTGACAGCACGGTACTCTACCAAGGGCAACAAAGCGAGACTCTGTCTCAAGAAAAGAAAAAATTAAAAAAATTATTTTTAACAAAGGAAATATAAATGACTCTTAAACATGTGAACAGGTACATAGCATCATCACTTACACTAATTATGTTTTGCCATCCTTCACATTACTAAAGGTAACAGTGCTGTGATTGCATTAATGTACACAGCTATGACTTAATAAAAAAAAAAGATGACAGTGGATTTTTGTTTTCTTGTTTGTGTATGTGTGTGTGTGGTATGTTTGTTTTTTGAGACAAAGTCTCAAGCCATCACCCTGGATAGAGGCCTGTGGCATTACAGCTCACAGCAACCTCCAACTCTTGGGCTTAAGTGATTCTCTTGCCTCAGCCTCCCAAGTAGCTGGGACTACAGGCGCCTGCCACAATGCCTGGCTATTTTTTTGTTGCAGTTGTCGTTTAAGTTGGCCTGGGCTGGGTTTGAACCCACCAACCCCACCTTACCCACTGAGCTATGGGTGCTGCCACGTAGTATGGATTTTTCATGTTGGCAAGAGTGTGGGGGTGTAGGCATTCTTATAAGCTGCCTAGTATGAATAGATTTGAAAACACCCTGTGGAGATAAACTCGGCTTTTCTATCTTTAGGAATTTCATAAAGCTGTCTTCACATGTATGCAAGATAGCATGTATGAACAGTTTGTTATGGCATTATTTTTAATAACAGGCTTAGAAACAATCTCTTACTGCCCATAAATAAACACTAAATAAATGGAATACTGTACAGCAGGTAAAAAGACACCGATGAAAACTGTCAGATACAGAGTTAAAAACATGTTGAGCCAGCCACACTTCACTGTACCAAGATAGGTGGCTCTTGCAGCCTTTTTAAATTTTAGAAATTACAATTCAAGAAAGCTTTTTCAGCATGAAAGCAAATAACATCGTGAATTTTTTACTTATTTGGCAAGTCAAAAACTCAGACTTTCTGGATAGGACTATAACACACCCACATTCCTTTGAAGACTAAAAAAGCCAGATAAAAACGTGGCTCGGCACGGAGGCTCATGCCTGTAATCGTAGCACTCTCAGAGGACAGTCAAGCGGTGGATTGCTTGAGCTCCAGAGTTTGAAACCATCCTGAGCTAGAGTGAGACCCTGTCTCTACTTATAAAAACGAAAAAAAGAATAGGAAAAGAAAACTAGTCGGCATCGTGGCAGATACCTTTAGTTGCAGCTACTCAGGAGGCTGAGGCATGAAGATTGCTTGAGCTCAAGAATTTGAGGTTAACTGAGCTATGATGACACGAGGGCAACAGAGTGAGACAAAAAAAAGGCCGGGTGTGGTGGCTTATGCCTGTAATTCCAGCATTTGGGAGGCTGAGGCCCGTGGATTGCCTGAGCTCTCAAGTTTGAAAACAACCTGAGCAGGAGTGAGACCTCTTCTCTAAAAAAAAAAAAAAATAGGCTCTGTGGCAGGTGCCTGTAGTCCCCGCTACTTGAGAGGCTAAGGCAAGGGAATCACTTGAACCCCAGAGTTTTGAAATTGGTGTGAGCTACAATGTCATAGCACTCTACCAGGGGTGACCAAGTGAGACTGTCTCAAAGAAGAAGAAAAAAAAGGGCAGTACCTGTGGCTCAAAGTAGGGTGCTGGCCCCATATACCGGAGGTGGTGGGTTCAAACCCAGACCCAGCCAAAAAAACTGCGAAAAAAAATATTGCCCACTTAAAAGCATTAGTTGGTTCGGCACCCATAGCTCAGTGGTTAGGGCATTGGCCAC